GGAGCGACAACTTGAAACCTATGACACAAGCTCCGCATACACTTACCCGAGAAGTTCTCCTCCACAGCCTCAACATCCCCAATCTGTGCCGAACAGTAGGAGCCAACTTCAGCGTTAGCATCCAACATGAATACTGGCTGCACTCCTGGTACTAGATACTGGCTTACTAGCCTCTGCGTCTCAATCCACCACCTCTCAACTAAGCAAACATCCTTGCGAGCACAATGTGGGGCGTGTGCAGCAACAAGCAATAGATGCAGGACAGGCACATGAAAACGCAATAAGAGCCGGCTCGTACCAGCATAGAGCTGGGCCACATGATGTCGGCTGGGGTTGATACCTTTCACTGGCAACTCACAGTTAATCCAGATAGCAACTCCATCAGCGCCATTCTCAGCACACTTGGAGTAGTACATCATGTAGTCCCCGACCCTCTTAGGCAACGCCGTTTGTAGTCGCGTCTCTAGGACCCCCAGGAAGTGATATTTGGCAGCAGAAAACTGACGAGCAAGGGCAGTGATTCTCCCAGGGGCATTCAGGCCGATAACCTTCAAGAAGCGAGCCCCTTGGGGGGCTCTCCGCTGGGCCCCTTTATACTTGCTGTTCCCCTGAAGCGTCAAGACATTAGCAGCCCCAAACTTGTATTGCTCTATCTTGTTCGAGGGGGCCTCATCTAGGATGGTCTGGACCCCGATAACCTCCTGGACCTGGAAACCCTCCGAGAGCACTTCACCGACCCTCAAGGAGTTAGTATTTATGATGTTCGGGAGGTCCGCGGAGCGGTCGGAATACATCCAAGCCCAGGCCAGAGCAGAGGAGTCAAAGAGCAGGGATGCAAAGGGCATATACTCCATGCCTGGCAACAGTCCCATCCCTGTGAGACGCGCCAGAGTATCAGCAAGCTCGTTATATCCTTCCCCTTGGTGGCTGCGAACATGTTGTCCCTGGATGGTACAAGTAGTAGCCAGAAACTGGACCAGGGACCGAAGAAACATTAATCCAGAGTTAGTGACCTCAAAGGTTTGGGTGCCCATCAAAACTCCGAGCGTTCGCATAGAGTCGAGTCGGAGTACAACTGGTACTGACCCCAGGTTCGCCTGGGCAATCCATGCCAATGCCCATGCAGCAGCAAGAATCTCAGCAGTGTCAGAGTGGTAGGAAGACGGGAAGAGATCCATCACATCTTCTGGGACCAAATCAGAAATATATCCTCGAAGGGCCCTGGAACCGTCAAAATACTCATAGATAATCACCGCAGCCGACGCAGGAACAAACGGTATGTCAGATCCATCGGCTCCTCCAGTGCCATCGGTATAGACGAAGACACGGGTGGGGGGAAGGAGGGGGAGGAATGGCACATGCTGCTGCAGCACCGCGGAAGTGGCAGGATGCAAGTAGGCTGACAAAGCTTCTTCACAGAGCTGATGCACTGAAAAAGGCCAGGGCTGGAGAAGCTGCTTGACAGCAGCAGGCACATAATGAAAAGGAAAATCACGGCTGCTCATGGGCGGCCGCTGGTCAGAGGGGCCTCTCTCATCGGGCGAAAGCTCAACCCGACGGAGGCCCGCTCGGCGAGCAGCGGCCGCTAGGCGTTTCCCGACGCCACACCACGAGGAGCCGAGCGTGACTGAGAGCGATGGGCAGCTCTCCCACGGCTGGCTGCACGACTGGGCGAGCGCCTCGGCGAGCGCGAGCCAGCCTCCGCGCGTCCCTCTCCTGCCGCGGGCTCCTCGGTGGCAGTCGCTGCTGGTGCCGCACGCGCTGCACCCACTCCCGCAGCCTCGGCAGCTGTGCGGCCAGGCGGCCCAGGCTGCTGCCCGTGTGCACCTGGCACTCCTCCCATGCCGTCCACCGGGGATGTTGCCGGCGTCCTGGCCGCCGCCTCTGGAGCCCCAGTCGGACCAGTAGAGAAGGTCACGTGGGCGGTCGGCACTGGGATGTTCTGGCCTCCTCCAGCAGACAACTGCATCTGGTGGATGAGAGACTGGAAGCCTTGCAGCTGGGCCATCATTGCCGAGATCTGCGTCTGGTGTGCAGCCAACGCTCTAATCGTGGACATGGGCACGCCAGCTGCGGCTGCACCAGCCACACCTCCAGCTGTACCCGCGGGCGCCGCTCCTGCAGGAGGCGTCGCTGCAGGAGCTGGCTCGGCAGCCCTCTTGGCAGCCTCCTTGGCAGCCTCGTTCTCGGATTGGATCAGCATCTTCAGCTCGGCAATCGTCTTGGTCATGTGCTCGAGGTCGCGCTTGGCCAGGTCGACGTCCATGTTGGCCTGCTTCACCTGTGTCTGCAGGTCTTCCAGCACGTCGTTCGCCTTCTGCAGGAGCTTCTCGGCACGCTCGAAGGCCTCCTCCTGCTTCTGCAGCTGGGCCTTCACTCCTCTTGCACAGAACAACATTGTGAGCGTGGTCGCAAACTCGAGCACCGCATCGTCGTAGTCCTCGTCCGCGTCGTAGCGGTCGAGGATGATCGCATTCAGGGCCTCCAGTCTGGCTGAGGCCTTCTCCTTGTAGTTCTCGACCTCGGCGTCCGTCGCCTGCGGTCCAGGTGGCGCCCTCCACTTGGGATGTCCGCGCGCCACCTGTGGCAGCGCAGGACGGATGTGCAGGATATCCTTCGCCGAGCGGTACTCGTCGGAGGCCTTGTCGACGTCGTCGTCCTTGTCCCTGTCCTTGGCAGGAGCACCCGCGGCCGTCGGCGGCGAGTCTCGTAGTGGATGAGGCTTGCCAGCAGACCTGTCCCTGCCTCTGCCCTTGCCCTTGCCCCGTGGTCCTTCCTGCGACGGGGGGGCACTGCCAGATCGCCTCGGCTGGCGGCGCCATGGCGGGGCATCGGGCTTGGGCGTTCCACACTGGCGACAGTCCACACGCTCGTGCCAGTTCTTGCAGGAACAGGTAGCACATGGCCAGGGAGATGAAGGCGGCGCCCATGAGACGGACAGCGCTGCCTTGTTCATGTCGGCGAGTCGGCCCTGCTGGCGACTGTGATGTCGTTGTAGAAGACGTCGTGCCGCCTCCAAGCGGAGGAGGACACGAGCACGTGAGCGGACCGCTCGGGCACGCCTGTGCCACGCAGGCTCAGCGGCCCTGCCTGCGTGGCGATGGCGGCCAGCACGGCCACGGGGCAGCACAATGGCGGCTGCGAGCAAGTGGCGCGTATAGCAGCAGTCCCGGAAGTGAGGGGCTCGGCTACCTGGTAGCCTCCCAGGGCCCCTCGAGCCGGGACGGCGGCTATAGGAGGAGGAGGCGGAGGAGGAGGAGGAGGAGGAGGAGGAGGAGGAGGAGCAGCAGGATGAGGAGGAGAGGAGTAGGAGTTGGAGGATGAGGAGGAGGAGGAGGAGGAGGAGGAGGAGGAGGAGGAGGAGGAGGAGGAGGAGGAGGAGGAGGAGGAGGAGGAGGAGGAGGAGGAGGGGAGGAGGAGGAGGAGGAGGAGGAGGAGGAGGAGGAGGAGGAGGAGGAGGAGGAGGAGGAGGAGGAGGAGGAACAGGAACAGGAACAGGAGGAGGAGGAGGAGGAGGAGGAGGAGGAGGAGGAGGAGGAGGAGGAGAAGGAAGAGGAGGAGGAACAAATGGTGGATGGGAGAGTTGGGAGAGGTGGAGGAGGGGGGGGAGCTAGAGGAGTGAGGATGGGCGAGAGAGGACGGGACGCGAGGGACGAGGGGTCAAGCATAATGGATGGGAGGGAGGGCGTAGGGAGGAGGCAGAGGGAGGGATTGTTTTCTGGGGGGGGTTGAAGAGGAAGGGGGAAGAGGAAGAGGGGGCATGGGGATGGACTAGAAATGGGGGGTGCTGGGAGACTTTGCTCCAGGAGTAGTACAGGGAGGAGGGACAAGAGGGAATGAGGAGAGAGGACGGATGAGGAGGACAAACAACGACGAATACCAAGGAGAAGGAGTGAGGGAAGAGGTTGGGAGGGTCCAGGGAGGAGAGGGGGTTGCAAAATGCGGCATGGAATCCGCAACTCCCGAGTAATGCATTCCGATTTACGCGCATCGGAATTGAATGGCTTCGTAAAGTGCCCCAACTGGTTTATAGGTCAAGATATCAGGTGTTGATCCTCCAGATGCGCGCCCTGACTAAATTGATTGACTGGTGGCGGAAAATGTCAAACGTGGATGTGCCGCGCTCAACAGGAGATCCTGGTCTCACCCCCACACCTTTCAGGGCGCTGGTCTAACCCACTCGGGTCAGCCAGATCTGAACCACCCGTGCCTCCACTTATGGCCTCCCCATCCCTTCATCGCCCCCCGCGCTGATCCAAGCTGGGGTCCTCAGGCCTCCCAGAGTCCCCTGCATCCGCGAAGCCCTCAGGAGAAGAAGGTCGAGGATCACCGAGCGCATTCCGCTCCTGGCAAAGTGCCTACTCGCAAACGTCCAAGAACAAAAGCACATGTCTTCCTATATGTAATGGATCGTAAATCCCCCGCGGCGGATTCAGGCCATTTGTTGCGAGCAGGTACTTTGTGCGAGTAATGGAACGCGCTTGTCTAGAGGAGCAGAAGCCGGAGAAGCCGTCGGCGGCGGCGGAGGCGAGACCGGAGAAGCCTCAATCGGGGAAGCGCAAGACTCCAGTGCGCCAGAACTCGGGTCAGCCAGCGCTGTTTGTCGAGCGCGTCCTAGATTTCGACGGTCCAGTTTTCGTGGGACGTCTGCAGCGGGAGCTCGCGTCAAATTTCAGACTGGGTCTCGTCATTTTCATGATGGCCCCCGTCAGGCCAACGCGAGTCCCCCGATTCCGAGTCTTACGTTAGAGGCCTTCTAGATGGAGTCCGCGTAGATGGGGTCACAGGATCGCGCCGCATCGCCAGTGCATTGCCGATGTATCGGCGATGCATCGGCGATGCATCGGCGATGCCGGCGACGCATCCGCGACGTCGGCGCAGGGAAACTCGGGCTCCCCATCGAGCCGCATCGTCGATCCATCGGCGATGCGGCGCGATCCTTCGACCCCCTCTCCTCGGACCTCATCTGGGAGGCCTGGATGCGTCTCCCCCTGTCCCAGGAGAAGCCGGCCGAGGAGGGCAAGCCCAAGGCCGCGCAGAGCTTCGAGGACCGCGCGCGGCGCGGCCAGGGATGGGGCGGGCTCCGTCACCGGCGCCTACCGGGGCGGGGGGCTTCGAGGGTCGGGGTATCTGGGCGTCTCCGGCTCTTTTGTTTTGTCCTTGTCTGTCTCAGTTTTGTCTCAGTATTGAGCTCTCACGATTGAACATGCATTTTTGGTGATCCCCATCACTTTTTCAACTGAAGTGCTTCGCCAAGGGCCGGTACCCTGTTCTCTTATGAGGGAACTTTACTAGGCTCAAACTGGGTTGTTGGCCCCAAGGTTACAACAACAAAGGCTCCCGACTGAGATGTCCTCACAATTTAGCCAGGACCCCCGCTCCCGCCTGAGAGTTCCTCGCATGCTACTCAGGAATCACGCTCTTGCATGGGACGTCCTTGCAATTTATTCAGGAATCGGTCCTTCGGCGCTCTGGAGTCGCGCTCTCGCTGGAGACTTGCTTGCAATTTGCTCAAGAATCGCGCTCTTGCGTTGGAATTCTCCGCAATTTACTCAAGCGCCGCGCTCCCGACACTCAGGCACCCAGGACTCGCGCTCACGCTTAGGACTCCCTCACAGCTTACTTGGGAATCGGGATCTCGCTGACCTTCGTGGCCCCCTCGCTGCCCTTCGTGACCCCCTCGCCGCCCTTCGTGGACCCGTTGCAGCCCTTCGTGGTCCCCTCACTGCCCTTCGTGTTCCCGTTGCAGCCCTTCGTGGTCCCCTCGCTGCCTTTCGTGGCCCCGTTGCTGCCCTTCTTGACCCCCTCGCCGCCCTTCGTGGACCCGTTGCAGCCCTTCGTGGCCTCCTCGCTCCCCTTCATGGCCCCGTTGCAGCCCTTAGTGGCCCTCTCGCTGCCGTTCCTGGCCCCGTTGCAGCCCTTCGTGGCCCCGTTGCAGCCCTTCGTGGCCCCCTCGCTGCCCTTGGTGGCCCCCTCGCTGCCCTTCGTGGCCCCGTTGCTGCCCTCAGTGGCCCCGTCATTGCCCTCTGCGGCCCAATATGCGTATGCCCTTGGTGGCCCCCGCTCGTTCGCGCCCGTCGTGGCCCCATATGCATGCCCTTCGTGGCGCCGATGTCGCCCTTTGTGTCCCCCTCATTGTCCTACGTGGCCCAGTTGCTACCCTCAGTGGCCCCGTCGTTGCCCTCTGTGGCCCCGAATTATCTGCCCTTCGTGGTCCCCGCTCGTTCGCGCCCTTCGTGGTTCCACACGCATGCCCTTCGTGGCCCCGTTGCAGCCCTTCGTGGCCCCCTCGCTGCCCTTCGTGGCCCCATATATGTATGCCCTCCGTGGCCTCCGCTCGTTCGCGCCAGCCGCGGCCCCATATGCATGCGCTTCGTGGCCCTGCTGTCGCCCTTCGTGGCCCCCTCGCTGCCCTTCGTGGCCCCGTTGCTGCCCTCAGCGGCCCCGTCATTGCCCTCTGCGGCCCAATATGCGTATGCCCTTGGTGGCCCCCGCTCGTTCGCGCCCGTCGTGGCCCCATATGCATGCCCTTCGTGGCTCCGATGTCGCCCTTTGTGGCCCCCTCGTTGTCCTACGTGGCCCAGTTGCTACCCTCAGTGGCCCCGTCGTTGCCCTCTGTGGCCCCGCATTATCTGCCCTTCGTGGTCCCCGCTCGTTCGCGCCCTTCGTGGCTCCATACGCATGCCCTTCGTGGCCCCGTTGCAGCCCTTCGTGGCCCCCTCGCTGCCCTTCGTGGCCCCAGATATGTATGCCCTCCGTGGCCTCCGCTCGTTCGCGCCAGTCGCGGCCCCATACGCATGCCCTTCGTGGCCCCGCTGTCGCCCTTTGTGGCCCCCGTTCTGCCCTCTGTGGCCCCGCTGTCGCTCTCACTGTCGCTCTCGCTCTCGCTCTCGCTTTCGCTCGTTGTCGTCGTCGTCGTCGTCGTCGTCGAGGTCGGTCTCCTGTCCGTAGCCATCTCCAGGTTGGAGCTGATTTTGCAAGCTAACCTTTTGGTCCGCGCACTTGGAAGTGGCGCAGCGGGCCAGAGCCATCATCAAGTGATTCATGGGACATGCAGCGGCAGCGCCTTGGAAGACCCAGAAGAAAGCCTGGGAATGCCGAGGATGCAGCTTCCTCAATTACCACTTCCGCAGCTCATGCAGGGAATGCGGAACTATCGCGCCTCAACCGATCCTCGCTCATCAAAATAAGCACCGTGAGCAACAGCAGCGTGGGCGTATGCCAGGAGGGCAAGACCCGCCTCGCGGGCGGTGGGCCAGCGGACCCCCCCTCGCGGGTCTGCAGGCGGCGGCGGCGAAGCTGATCCCTCCTCGCTCTCAGTCGGGCAGCTGGTCAAGCTTCTTCAGGCTAAAGGAGTGGCAGGACAGCTGTCGACGGATGTGGAAAAGGCCCTTCGTCAGAACCATGAGAAGCCCGTGGACTGGCTTCGAAGGGGTTGCAAGACCTGCTTCAGAGGAAGCAGCGCAAGGAGAAGCAGGTTGAGGCGGCTACAGGACGAGAAGCAGCTGCGCAAGAGGCACTTCGACAGGCTCAGAAAACCTATGAGGAAGAGTCCGCCCAGTTGGCCAAGCATCGTGAACCCCTCGAGGAGCTGGAGTCCAACGTCCAGGGTGCCAAGGTGGCCGACGTACTCCCAGACCCTCCTGAAGGTACGGTTGAGCCCCAGCACGAGATCGCGATGTTTGACGTCTTGAAGAAGTGTCTGCAGAAGTACGGGGGCAGGTTCGGCATCAACACCGACGCCGCCCGTAAAGCTGCAGCGGCAAAGAAGAAGGAGCTCGAGCCCAAGATCCCCGAGCCGATGGACACGAACGCAGATGGAGGGGATGCTCCTGTTGGTGGCGCTGCAGGGGCTGCTGGCGGTGCTCAGTCTGTCCAGTCCGATGAGTCAGATGAAGAGCTGCGCGCAGCCTTCGCCTCAGCAGGTTGCGACATCGCCGACCCCGACAAGTGCAAGCGGCTGCTCGAGAGTCTGGGCTCCCACGCCAGGAGGGCCAGGCATGGGTGGCAGGCGGCTCGCAGAAGGAGCTCGTGGCGACGGCCCGAGGGGGCGCGGGCCCCGAGCTATGGCCACGGCAACCTGTTGGGAGGCAGCCCCTCTGTGTCGAGGTGAGCTTCGGCCCTCGGCGCAGAGTCGGGAGGCTCGAGCCTCCAGGCGGGCCGTGGCGCATCAAGGTGAACGGGATTGGGCGCTGGCAGGGCCGGCGCCGATTGGCAAGCACGACGTCTGCTTGTGGGCGGCATCACGCTGGGCTCGGCGAAGCGCTGGGCCGAGCGGCGGTCCGTCAGCTGGTTCGGTCGAGCAGCTGAATCGACGGGTGAGGGCGCGCTCCGCTCCAGCGGGGGCGCAGCATCCTGAGCAGCCCGTCGGCCATGCGTGAACCAGGGCTGGCGCGTGAGAAGCCCCCCGCTCACAGGGTCTAAGCGGCGAGGCTCAACATCGGCATCCTTGTGCCACTCCATGTGATCAGCCTTTACCTTGTGACGGGGATAGGGCTAGAGAGAGAGAGAGAGAGAAAGAGAGAGAGAGAGAGAGAGAGAGAGAGAGAGAGAGAGAGGGAGAGAGCGTTCTGATCTTCAGTCAGTTGCTGGAGTACGTTGGCTCGCTTCCAGGGCCGTGGATCGTTCTGGGCGGCTTCAACATGGAGCCCGACGTCCTGGCCGAGTGGATGGCCAAGGCAGGGGGCATGCTGCTGTCTCCTTCGGCTCCGACATGCGGCGGGCGCGAGCTCGATGTTGGCATTTGTTCCAGTGCCCTCGGGAGCTTCGCCCAGTCGGTGGTGCCGATCGAGGGCGCGACGCTGCAGGCGCACATTCCAGTGCAGGTGCGTCTGAGGGGCCTCGGAGTCGAGGCGCGAGTGACGCGCCCGGCTTTTCCGCTCAAATTTCATTGATAAGCCGCCCCCCACCAGGCCTGCTCCCAGGGAGGCGACGCCTGATGAGTGGCCTTGGGACCTTGGAGGGGCGCTCCCACATGATCTCGGCGAGGCTTGCTCGCTCTGGCTTCGGCTGTCCGAGAGATACTCGGCGGAGTTTCACGATTTAGCCAGCTGGTCCAAGCCGGCCTGGGCCGGGGGAGAGCGGGGCTTCCAGGTAGCCAATGAGCCTCTTGTCTTTGCCTGGAATCGCACCCTGAAGCAGCACTCGAGTGCAGAATATAAGATGAGGGCGAGGTTCTATGCGGCGGCCTTCCGCCTTTCAGAGCTAGGAGTCGCAGCCAAAGCCAAGCGAATGTCGCGCCTCCAGGCTATCCATCGGCAGCGCAGAGTCGTCCGTCGCATTGTGATTTGTAATTGGCCTGGGTCTGGATCTCTTGGCAGGTGGTCGGATATCAGCAGGCTTGAGTTTGTGGATTTGTTAGCGTCGGGTGACCCTGAGCAGCTGGCCAGGACTGTAGATTCCTTTGAAGCCCCCAGGACTCACTTGCAATCGCTCCAGTGAGCCAGCAGAGCTGAAGCGGCCAGAGCTTGGAGGGAGTGGGCCCAGAAGGCGGCGCAACATGGTGGCAGTGACGCTTTTCGTTTTGCGCGTGACAGTGCCCAGCCGTCGGCCCTTCAGACTGACGGCCAGGATCAGGGGCCGTCTCTTCCCATCGCTGGCCAAGAAACTCTTGACCGAACCATGGACACGTGGAGGCCCTTGTGGGCCAATGAGGGTCGTGCTCAGGGGCGCCCTCCCATGGGGCGGGATGCGACTCGACCCGTGGAAGAGAGCGGAGTCGGTGGAAGTCAAGCTGGGGCTTGCGGGGGCCTCAGGGGGCCCGGGGACTCGGCGAGGTCGGCGGACAGGCTGGGGCCATATGCCGAGCTCCCGCCAATTACCTTGGAGCAGCTTGACAGGGTGCTCAGCAGCTACCCCGCGCAAGCTGGCCTGGGGCGGGATAAGTTCCACCCGAGGCAGATGCTATACCTTCCTAGCTCGCACAGGCAAGCGTTCATAGATATCCTGCATGCGTGGGAAGCTCTCCCAGAGGACCAGGATCTGTGGTTGCTGCTTGTCTTCTTTCGCTGCAGGCCCAGCCCCCCAGGAGGTGTTCGGCCCATTGTGC